TAGATTCGCACCATTTAACACTGCATTTTAATTCAACCGCATTGTTTATGTATGCAAAGTTGGTGCAATAGGGAAGTTTTCACTTTAACTGTATCTTCATGTTGCTGATGCCCTCAATGTAAATTATCACTTAATTGAATGGAGGTGTATTAATTAAGGTGTTGAACCTCGTTAACGGAAACTGGTCCAAATGGAGAAGATTTCCCAGAAGGTTTTTGAGTGGTTTCATGTCTATGYTTCCACATCCAAAGCGGGAAAATTGGCAACTTAATTAGTGATTTGTTCGACAAAAAGTAAACTTTTCAAYTCATGAAAATCAATCAAATCGATCAAAGGACAGAAACTCAAACTGGCCCTGGAAGCCTCTGCATCACAAATAGAAAACGGCAAGAGATTTAAAAAAAATTCTTTGCCAATCATCCAAAGCAGCCAGAGCTATCAAATTTTCAGGACACATTAAGCAAAGTCTGATCTATTCAATGGTGCATAAAGCTCTTATSTAGCCCATTCGGTTTTSAAGCAAATTTAGTTGTTAAAACTAGTCTACAGRGGCGATTTGAAACAGATAAGTTGGTAACTATATTTTTAAAAAAACATGTGAAAATTCMTCRGAAATTGCCATTGAGTGGAAACTACTCGGACATGTAGAATAAGGTGCGCTCTATTCATCCAAAAATAGCATTAGTCCAAATAAGGGCCATTGGGGAGCAATTAATTTTTGAAAATCAGTCTGCAACATGTGCTGCTTGAGATAGACGAGTTGGCAACCACATTTTGAAAAATTCGGCATATTTCCTTAGAACCTCTGATCGCTTTGAAACTCTTCACACACTTAGAGCAAACGGTGCTCTATGCAGTGGTGCAAAAAACAATATCTGGATTAGGCCATTGAAGAGCAAGGAATTTTCGAAAATCCATCTGCAATATGGAATGCCTGAAACAGACGAGTTGGCAACTACATTTTGAAAAAATCGACAAATTTTATCAGAAACTCTCATTGCGTTTAAACTCTCTGAACATATAAAGAGAGTAAAGTGCGTTTTATCCAGCCGCCCCGTGCGATAAATTGAAGAATTTCCGAAATCTCATCAGAATCTCTCATCGCGTTGGAACTCTTTGATCCTATAGGGAACAGTACGCTCTATCCAGTGTACTAAACATCATTCTTTTGATTAGGTTATTGGGAACCGTCGAATTTTTGAAAATCTTTCTGCAACATCTGAAAGGTGAACTGTCTGTAACATTTGAAAATTTTGCAAAAATTGCCAAAATACATCAGAAACTCTTATTGCGTTTAAACTCTTTAAATATATAAAGTACAGTCTACCCAGTGGCCCAAACTGCAATGTCTTGTTTAATACATTAAAGAGCTACTATTTTTTTTTAATCAGTCTGCTACACGTGCTTCCTGAGACAGACAGGTTTATGTTTTCAATAATTCTTGAAACTTAATCAGAAACTCTCATCCCGTTGAAACTTTGGGGGCACATAGCGCAAAGTACGCTCTATTCAATAGATGTAAAAGAATTTCCTCATCTGGTCCATTAAGCAGCAATTAAGTTTTGAAAATCAGACTGATCATAGATCACAATTCAACGAAAACAGTTGTCACAAAGAAACTTTCCGGACACTTACAGCTAAGCGTGCTCTATGAGGCGACAAAAACCCTAAGGTCTAACTAAATGTATTATGTTTGAAATAAGGAATTTTTGAAAAAAACTACTCTGCTTGATGACGACCGATTGGAAAGCACAGTTTTAAAAATCCTTTACAAATCACCAATCGCATCCAGCTCAATGAAACTTGCCAAACATACAGGGCAAGATGGAGTATATTCA